CACTACGACTCCAAATGGGAATGGACTGCTTGCAGCATACCAAAAGGTGAACCATGATGATGAGTGCTCCATTCCTCGAGCTTTTCGAAGCAGTAATGTTTGACGCCGTTCTGCCAACCCTCACAGTGTTGAGAAATTCTTTGGTGTAGGCGGCGACATGGTCTGCTGACATGTGTTAGCCCCACGGGGCCAATTAAAAGGAGGATCGGACCTGCTTGGGTGTTCGCTTCCTCAGTCCTCTACTTCTTTCCTACAACTCTTAGGAGTCGATGTTGTTCTCTGTGCATTAGGAGCTTTGGAATTTGACCAGTATGGGAATTTTTCGGAATGGCCTTTCTAGGCGTATTTAATTTGGACATCAAATAGTTGTGTGCAATTCGAAAATTGTAGATAAAACTATCAAAATCTCGCGACTTGAGCTTGTCTCAAGTTTTTTTCCTGTAATGGTAAGACAGCGCGATTGAGAAACCTACAGTGAGTGGAGGATTGTAACCCAGTCTCTATGGGGTGTAGGAAGGTACAGTCCTCATCATTGCGGACCGGTGGGGCGTGTCAGCCAGTATGAGTGTGCACACTGTTGAAGCCGTTCTCAGCCTTTTTGTTGAAACGCGTATGCGACAAAAAGTGGTAGAAAACGAGTAATACGAAGGATATAATACAGTAATGTCACTTGCCCGCTTCAACAACTGGTGCAGAACGACTTTGGCACCGCGCCAAACGCAGCCGCACTGACACGCCCCACCGGTCCGCAATGATGAGGACTGTATATGGTTGGTTTGCTTACCTCAGACTGAACACGGGAATAGAACAGAGGATAACAAGTTTTAGACGCTTCAATCCCTCAATCATTTGTCCCGTTCTCCCACCGCTCCTCTTGCAAGGCGAACGGAGGTGATGAGGCAAGGTGAAGGTGGACTACTGCCGAGGTCGACGTGGGTTGAGTCAGCCCTGGAGGTGAGCCCTGCTGAACGATTAGCTTTCAAGACCATGATGTGCCACTGCATCTGACAGATTTAAAGCCCGGAACCAACTTGTAATAATTACCAGGTTGTTGATCATTCCGAGAGCTTGGAGACTCAACGAAATCATTCCAACTTGAAGGTAGGACTTCAGAGCAGGATTCGTCCTGCCATCAAGAAACCTTCTCGCAGAATAGGCTCTTAAATCAGAAATTCCTCAACCCTCCCCTCCCTCCAGCGACCAAATACGCCCCCTCACTGCTGATTCGCAAGTACGAGCTCATGCCCTGCCTGTGAGCTCATGCCCACCATCCCCATCTTATCCAGTGAGCGCTTATTTGCTTAGGTAATCATCGTTGAAGCATTCGTCAAGGTAAGGGGGGGGAGGGTCAGATTTCGGCCTGATCGAATTTA